ACCGAGTGCTGCGCGGGATACAGGACATACAGTGTACCTACCGCGCACTGTGCGGTCAGCTGTCCTCCCTCACCTTGTCGGTGGCGGCACTGTCTCCTGTCTCACGGCTCCTGTCCCCCCTAGCTCGCATCGACTCCAATGGCCTCGGTTGCTAAACTGCTGAACTGCTGAATTGCTGGAATGGCCTGCCTCAAGCCAAGCATCGCCAGCCAGCGGTCGGCGGCAGGGACAGGATCGCTCACTCGCCTCGCTTCATGCGTCGGCCTACTTGGTTCGTGCAGTCAGTGAAGTACTACTTCGAGGCAGTGGAGGACACAGCAGCAGGCACCGCGCTGAGGACGGGCAGTCGGACGGCCGAGGACGAGCTCACAAGATACAGTACTGCACATCCAGTACTGTTAGTACTGAATGAGCATGCACTACTATCGCTTGCTTGCTGCTTGGTGTCTCACGGTATGCAGCACATCTGCTGGAAGGCCAAAGGCTTGAGGAGTAAGGCCGCACAGCATCTCCACGGCTGCCCCTGAACACCGCCCGACTCGCAGCCCCTGAATCCTGACTCCTGTGCCGCATGGTCCCGTCGCTGTCGCCGCAATCGTTGCCTGCTACTGCTACTGCACTCGCAGATCAGATACAGGGCCAGGGCAGCACTATGCGTCTCCGTCCGCCCGTTCGAGAGCTCTCACTGCAACGCATACTCGGCCGCTGCTCCGCGCATTGCGTTGCGGACTCGCGTGGCCCAGCTCGTCCTGCTATCCAGCCAGTGGTGTCGACACTCAATCAACCCCGAGTACGGTCTTCTGTGTAAGCGACAGTTCCTGCTCGAGTGAATGGCCGCGGACCCAGCAGTGGAGGGCTGCGTAGGCAACTATGGTCTCATGGCCATGCCGGTCATTGAACCACGACCGGCCTCGGCGCCGCTGAGCCCGGATCTGACCAGTGCAATTGGCGGCGGGGCGAGCTGCGCCAGTCTCAGCGGCCGCACACGTCCTGGTGTCTCCCGTGCCCGCACGGGTATCGCCCCCCATAAGCGCTCACCCTACATACACTATACCTACACCTCCCCTTCTCACACCATCACCGCCCTGCCTGCGTCCCACCGCGCGTCGTCAGAAGGGACGGGACAGGACACCTGACGCCGCTGGGCCTTGACTACTGCGATACCACGTGTGTCTGCACGACATGCTGTACTGTATGTATGTACGTATGTAGCTCGCTGGCCAGGTGGAAGACGGCCTCATGCGACGGAAGCACAGTATCATTCGCCACGCGCCGCCATCATGCCCCCGCCATCATGCCCCCGGCATCAGAATCAGACGCTGGACAGCGCTCACGACAAGAGCCCGGCAGTCATCACAACGCTTAACATGCAGCGCGACTGGTGACTGCAAGAGGACAATTGCGGGCAGATATGAGAAACATAGCGGAGAGATGCTCGAGTGGTCTGATCAGAATCCAGCAACATCTCCACCGCCGCTGAGCTTGACATGGGATCCATCACCCCAGGCTCAGCGGCAGGTCCAGCCGACCGTCTCGGGCTACAGCTTGATCGGTTCTTTGGGCGACACCCGGCGTCTCCTCCCTTCACGCCATCACGCAGCTTTCTGTGCACTCCTGGTGATTACAGTCAGCCTGATCAAGTATTCTACTGCATCATATCGCTTGCCGGGACATTGCGTGTCGTTGCAAGTGGCCTCCCTCCCACATGTCGCGTTCGCGCAGGCCGTGCCGTAACTGACTCTCGTACTTGTCGAGCCTTCTCATGCTCGCCTTGGCTGGTTGCTTCAAGTCATGCACATCGCACCTTCAGTGGACCAACTGGCCATGGGTTCTATAGCTGTCCGCAGGCCTCGTGGGCAGCTGCAGGCGCGGCAGTCCCTCGTGGTCTGGCCGCTCAAGCAGGTCTTACTGCTTGGGCGTTGCGGAGATACGGCACTGCCCATGGTTCCACATCAGGTATCGCACCGGCAATGCCGATAGAAGTGCTGATGCACCAGGGCCACTGGAGAATTGATAGCGGTAACTCACTATTGATGGTATCGACGTACGCGGATAGCTGACTATCTCCTGTCCGCTTAGCTGGATGAGGTTGAGACGCCGGAAGTCAGCGCCGTTCATGACTCTACATACGACCACAGTATGCTTACCAAGCTGAGCCACAGGCCACTATGCAGCCTTGTCCTGAAGCTGAGGGCAGCTCGCCGTCTCCCCACGCGACATTATCGGTTATGCTTATCGGCACTACAGGTGGCTGGGAGTACGTCTGTGACCCGGACTCGCAGTTTGGGAAAGACGCGGTAGTTGCCACGCAGCACGGGGTTGGTTGGGGTCCTGACGGTGGCAAACCCCGCATCTCGTCGTGCTGAGGACGTGCGCGATGCCAGAGGAGCCAATCAGACCATGATGGCCGCAGGACCGAGAGGTGGCAGCTGATAGCACCAGATGCTGAGGGGATATAGAATCGAGCATGGACGCAGTGCTGAAGGCAAGGCCGGCTTCTCCGGTTGGGCTGGCAGCAGCCATTCAGCGATGCCATCAGTATCAGAAATGGCTTCGCAGGACGAGAAACGAGGGGACGTGACTCTTGACAGCAAGTTGCCAGAAGCTAATGGCTTCCCGAAGCATGGCAGCGATCTGTCTGAGAGCGTTGTTGACGTTGAGAAGGGCACAGCGCAGAATGTCGACAATTCACACTACGACATTGCTCTAGAAACGCTGCAGAAATACGCCGGAGACGAGCCTCTGACACTAACGAAAGAGGACAATGACCGGATTGTTCGAATCATTGATTGGCATCTCATGCCAATCATGTGTTTCGTCTACGCACTGAATTTCCTTGACAGTATGCTCTCTTGTGACATGACAATCCGAGCATCACCCATAACGAGCCTTGACACTAACACTGGGCAGAGACAACGCTCTCTTCGGCGAGCATCATGGGACTGCGCGAGGATCTGCACCTGGTCGGCGATAACTACCAATGGCTTGGTAGTGTCTTCTACTTTGGGTTCCTCGGATTCGAATTCCCGGCTGCGCGAGCCCTACAGTACCTCCCAATTGCGAAGTTCTCTGCGATATGTATCGTGTGCTGGGGTATCGTCCTCACATGCTTTGCCGCGAGCAAGGATTTCGGGGGTGCAATGACATGCCGTCTCCTGCTGGGTATCTTCGAAGCCTCGGTTACACCGGCATTCACCCTGATCACTGCTAGGGTGAGCACGACCCTGACCGACGCTTGACATCCAACGACCTGTCAGAACCATGCTGATGTGATGAGTTGATGCAGTGGTACACCAAGTATGAGCAGGCCAGACGAATCAGTCTCTGGTTCTCGTGCAATGGCTGGGCTCAGGTTGTGGGAGGGCTGATTGCGTATGGCATCGCAATCGGTTCTCGCAAGCATGGATCAGCGATTGCGCCCTGGCAGACCCTGTTCATCCTGTTCGGCCTCTTGACAGTGGTTCTTGGCGTGGCCTTCTGGTGGGTGATACCAGACAGCCAACTCAACGCAAGGTGGCTCTCGGAGCGAGACCGAGCACTCGCGGTTGAGCGCATCCGCGAGAACCAGCAAGGCACAGGCACGCGGGAGTTCAAGTGGTACCAGGTGAAAGAGGCGCTGTTAGACCCAATCGTCTGGACCTTCGCGCTGGTCGCGGTGATCGCCGAAATCCCTAACGGTGGCCTGACCAACTTCTTCAGTCAATTGATTGTCGGCATGGGTTTCTCCGCTGAGCAGAGTCTCTTGTTGGGCGTCCCCGCCGGCTTCGTTGAAGTCGTTACGATCGTGGCGTCTGCTTGGCTGGGGACACGCTGGAAGTCAGGCCAGTTATTCTGCGCCAGCATCTTCGGGTGGATTGGAGTTCTTGGCGCGATCCTTCTGATTGCGCTGCCTGAGCACATGAAGGCCGGCCGGCTGATCGGGTACTACCTGACTCTGTCGTACGTCGTGATGTTCGTCTGTCTCCTGGGCATGATCTCGAGCAACATCGCGGGTTACACGAAGAAGACTGTCAGCGCTGGCATCTACATGTCATTCTACAGCGCCGGGAACATCATTGGTATGTGTGCGGCGTCTGAAGCAGTTGGTCAGCGGCTATTGTGGATACCAGTTTCACTGACAAATGGCGTGCGCACCAGGCCCGCAAACATTCCGACCGAAAGACGCCCCGCAGTACGTGCCTGCGAAGATCACCATCCTGGTCTGCTTCGCGGCGCAGATCGTGCTGCTGTACCTCGTCTGGTGGTACCTGGCACTCCAGAACAAGAAGAAGGAGAAGATCCGCTCAGCCCCTGACTACGTGAAGGTGGAGAACAGCGAGTGAGTCCGCCACAAGACATGCCGATCGATCATGAGCAGCTGAACTGACACGCCCGCGCAGATTCATGGACCTCACCGACCGGGAGAATCCTGAGTTCGTCTACATATACTAAGCATGTTTGCACTGCTCTGCTATAACGCACATACACTTGACGAAACTCTTCATGACCTGTTGTGCGACAACGGCTCTTGTAACGATGACTTGCCTGGCAGATTTGGAGACAGCAGCCCAGTGCCCCTGCCTCCAAGCACATACGACCACAGGCAGTGGAGAACAGGGCTTCCCGTCCGCTCAGCCATACTTAAGCCACTGGCCGGCTGGTTAGTAGTTGGGTGGGTGACCACCAGCGAATCCCAGCTGTTGTATGTTTTTGCCTGAGCGGTAGTCGCTACCGCACGCTTCGAGCACCTTCTCATAATGAGCCCTGCCGCGACGATCCGCCGTAGACGCAGACCTCATGTGATGTGCTCAGGGAGATGCTGTGTGGCCCACGTACGACATGATCATCAGTTAAATTCGCTGAATGCGTTGACCAGTAGCGCCGGAGGTGAGGCGGTCCTGACGGTGCATTGCGCCGCCATCTCTGCGTGGCACATCCCACGACTTGCAATCAATCAATAGTCAGCTTGAGGTGACGGAACCATATATGTTCCTCTACACAGAACCATGCATCAAACACGAGCCCGGTTAGCTCAATCGGTAGAGCGTGAGACTCTTAAATTCTCACCTTCAATTAGAAGGTGTAATCTCAAGGTTGCGGGTTCGACCCCCGCATCGGGCTTTCGCTTTTTGCACGACGATAACTCGCCATCGCTACCGCTGTCTGACGCCTACAACCACCCCACGACATCAAGAGCGCTGCCGCGCAACGAGTGATGAAGTTCACAGAGCGATTGGATGCCATTTCGCGGTGTTCAGGGGTCGCACAGATCGGGTCCTCTCGGACGCCACTTGGACCCGATCAGGCAGGCTCGACTCGCCCGCTGAGCCTCTCCTCCGCTACAGGGGCAGTGCTGCCCCCACCTCAGCTGCCTCCTACAGCCCCCCTCACTCCCTCGACAGCCGGTTCTTCGGGCTGAACGCCCGAGCCCTGATCTCCGTGAACTTCATCCTCCGATTGAGCCGCTTGCACTTGTTCGCCAGCGCGGTCTTCATGCGCGCGACGTTGACGGACGAGCTGGACTCGGTCTCTGCGATCGACGGCGGCGGGATCTCCATGTCCGTGGTCGTGGTGGGCGACAGCGTATCGCTGAAGGGGAGCGAGTCCATGCTCGTCGAGAAGAGCGGCAGCATTGGCGTGGAGGAGGTGGTGGCGCCGGCCGTCGTGCGCGCGTGGCTGCCCAGGCCGCGGCCGCCCGCGCCACCGCCGCCACCACCGCCGCCCTGGACGCCCTGCGTTCTCCTGAGACCGGCGCCGATGCCCATGCCGTCCGCGTCCGTCCGCGCCTGCACTGCCGACGAGGCAGACGTGATGTCCGACGTCGCGTTGGCGGTGGCGATGGCGGCGGCGGTGGCGGTGGTGGTGGCAGTCGCGGTGGCAGTGGACGTGGACGTGCCGGTCAGGGCCTGGAAGTAGCTCCGCTTGCTGCTCATGTTCGCGCGGCTCGTCTCCTCCCACTCAATCAGTGTCCTGAGCAGCCGATGGTGCTCGACCAGGCGCTCCTCGACCTGCGCCAGCCGTTGCTGGAGCACATCGCACCCCATAGGCGGTGTTAGCAGCGGTTGTCATGCGATTGCCATGATAATTGGTCCTCAATCCCTCCG